AGGAAGGCTGACGTTTCGGGCCTAGACCCTTCTTCAGAAATTTCTGAAGAAGGGTCTAGGCCCAAAACATCAGCCTTCCTGCTCCTTGGCCTGCTGTGTTCATCCAGCTCTACACCTTGTTACCTCAGGTTCTCCAGCATCTGCAGTTCCTACTATCACTTGAAATGTTAACTCTGCTTTCTCCTCAGATGCTGCTACACCTGTTTCTCCAGCAATTTCTGTATTTGTTTCAGATCTTCATCCACAGTTCTTTGTTTTATTCCTCATTGTGTTACAGGCTGCTGGGACTGTAAAGTATCATAGAATCCCTACAGTGTGGAAACAGGCTCTTTGGCCCAACAAGTCCACACTGACCCTCAGAGCATCCCACCCAGACCCATTCCCCCTACAGCCCACCTAATCTACACATCCCTGAACACTATGGGCAATTTAGCATGGCCACTTCACCTCACCTGCACATCTTTGGACTGTGGGAGGAAACCAGAGCATCCAGAGGAAACCCATGCAGACATGGGGAGAATGTGCAAACTCCAGACAGACAGTCGCCCAAGGGTGGAATTGAACCTTGGTCCCTGGAGCTGTGAGGCAGCAGTGCTAACCACTGAGCCACCGTGCTGCCCCATTGACTGTGTGCAATGTATAGTCAACACTTACCTGAAAGGGTGCCATGGTGACTGGAAAGTCATCTAATCCTTGGGCAGTGATGCTTATATTTTTATCTGCTAGGTTTAGGAACTGAATATAACTTTCTTTGGCTACTGGCTCAGGCATTACAGTTTTCTGAAAGGTAAAAGAATATCAACATAGATTAAAGCCTTCAATAAGACACTTGTTAGGCCTCAGCTACAGCAATGTGTACAATTGTGGCCACCTCATTATAGGAAAGATGAGAATCATAGAGCGTCTACAATGTGGAAGCAGGCCATTCAGCCCACACCAACCAACCAACCAACCAAACAGTATCCCACTCAGACCCACCTAACCTATCCCTGTATTCCCCATGGCCAACCCACCTAACCTGCACATCTTTGGACTGGGGGAGGAAACCCATGCAGGGAAGAGGAGAACATGCAAACTCCACACAGTCACCCAAGACCGGAACTGAGCCCAGGTCTCTGGTGCTGTGAGGCAGCAATGCTGACCACTGAGCCACCGTGCTACTCACTGCCTTGGACAGAGTGCGGGAGAGATTTACAGGAACGATTCCAGGAATGAGAAACCTCATTAGGAGGATAGGTTGAAGAAGGTGGGACTATTCTCTCTGGACAGAGAAGGCTGAGAGAAGATTTGAAAGACTTTCAAAATCATATGGATAGATGAGGAGAAGCTGTTCCCACTTTTAAAAGGAACAAGAACGAGAGGGTGTAGTTTTAAAGTGATGTACAAATGAAACAAGGGTGATGTGAGAAAAAAAATTTCCTACAGCGAGTAATTAGGTATGGAATGCACTGCCTGGAAATGGGGTGGAGGCTGGTTCAGTTGAGACATTCAAGCCTTCATTGCTCAGATCATTGAGTATAGGAGTTGGTATGTGTTGTGGTTGTACAGGACATCAGTGAGGCCACTTTTGGAGTACTGTGGACAGTCTGGTCACCCTGCTATAAGAAGGATATTATTAAGTTGGAGAGGACGCAGAAGAGATTAACCAGGATGTTGCCGGGGCTCAAAGGTTTGAGTTATAAAAATAGGCTGGACAGGCTGGGACTTTTTTCACTGGAGCATAGTCTACAATGTGGGTATGATAATGTGGTGTAGACAAACATATGACCCAGTGGTTTGTGGGTTCAATCCTACCATGGCATACTAGAAATTTGAATTCAGTTACAAATTCTAAATTTCTAAGGTTTTGGAGTAGATCTGTAGCTTGGGTTGTGGGTATTGAGGTTGGGTTGGCTCGCCGAGCTGTTTTGTTGTTCCGTGGATGTTTTGTTACCATGCTGGATAACATCATCAGTGCAGTCTCTGATGAAACATCGGTGTGTTTTCTCGCCTGGTTTTTAAACTCTGGGTTTTTCCCTTGCCAGTTTGAGCGTGTTGCGCCCGTAGGTATCTAAGGCTTTGGAGTAGATCTGTAGCTTGGGTTGTGGGTGTTGAGGTTGGTTGGCTCGCTGAGCTGGTTTGTTATTCCACAGGCATTTCATTACCACGCTTAGTGACATCCTCAGTGCAACCTCTGATTGAAGCGTCGGTGTGTTTTCACGCCTGGTTTTTAAACTCTGGGAGAGCCAGACCAGCTCGGCGGGCCAACCAACCTCAAATTCTAAATTGTTAGATTGTCTTGACAAAACCCAGCTAGCATTGTCATCGCCTTTAGGGGAAACCCACCACACTTCTTGTCCCATCTGGTGTAGTTGGCCTGCTAAGAGATAAAGCATTACCTCAGGGTAGCCATTAACAGCTGTGCAACTGTGCAGGGGGCCAGATTAATGTGACTGCAGATACCTTATGGGTGTATGGGAGATGGTGGTGGGGGTTAATATCCTTGATCTCCTGCTAAGCCACCCACCCACACCAAATGTTGTGCGGGTTGGAGAAACAAGTCTCACTTATGACTCCATGTAGGTGAATGGACACACCAGTGGTACAACCGCTAGATGTGCACTCAGTGGTCGTATGATCAAAGTGAGGGGACTATCAGCTTCAGCTTCCCCATGGTAGGGTTGAAGCCAGGTACCACTGGATCGTGCTTTTGACTATACCACACTATCATACCCATATTGCAGGTTACACTCACACAAGTTATGTTGTTACTGTAGGTTATTTTGTTACTGTGAGCTCTGTATGGGGGACTAGACACATTGCCTTCCTGAATGATGTGACAGTGGCCCCTGCTGTACCACACACCTCGCTGGTCTCCACATTCTGAGTTCTTGTCCTACTAACCTGTCAAGGATTTCCTGATTTGAGCCGGGCAGCACGGTGGCTCAGTGGTTAGCACTGCTGCCTCACAGTGTCAGGGACCTAGGATCAATTCCAGCCTCGGGTGACTGCCAGTATGGAGTTTGCACATTCTCCACATATCTGTGTGGGTTTCCTCCCACAGTCCAAAGGTGTGCAGGTTTGGTGGATTGGCTGTGCTAAGTTGTCCAGGGATGTGCAGGTGAGGTGGACTAGTGATGGGAAATGCAGGGATAGGGTAAGGGGGCTGGCCTAGGTGGGATGTTCTTTGGAGGATTGGACTTGAGGGACTGACTGGCCTGCTTCAACACTGTATGATTCTTTCACTATTCACAGACTTTGTCCATAGGCTGGGCCTATTTTCCCAGGAGTGTTGGAGGCTGAGGGGTGACCTTATAGAGGTTTATAAAATCATGAGGGGTATGGATAGGGTGAACAGCCCAAGATCTTTTCTGTGGGGTGGTGGAGTCCAAAATGAGAGGGTATAGGTTTAAGTTGACAGGGGAAAGATATAAAAGGGACCTAAGGGGCAACTTCTTTATGCAGAGGGTGGTGCGTATATGGAACGAGCTGCCAGAGGAAGTGGTGAGGGCTGGTACAATTACAACATTTAAAAGGCATCTGGATGGGTATATAAATTGGAAGGGTTTAAGAGGGATATGGGCTAAATGCTGACAAATGGGACTAGAGTTATACAGGATATCTGATCGGCATGGACGAGTTGGACCAAAGTGTCTATTTCTGTTCTGTATATTTAATGACTCCATGACGCTACGTGAGGAAGGGAGTGGGGATTACATCCCCACATCATCGAAGGGCCAAATGGCCTCTTTTTATGCCATAACAATTCCTGTGACAGCAGCAATTTGGGCGATGTTCCAGAAGTGGAGATAGGCGGTTCTAACAAGTATGCGGTCATAAGGTCATAAGGGGGTCATATATTGTGAACAGACTGGGATTCATCTCAGGTTGTTTTCAGGGAATTACAGATAATCAATTTTCATTATTGAGAAATTAGAGATCAGAGTTTAGAATCATATTATACAGGAGGATGCCATTCAGCCCATCATGCCTACAATGGTTCTTTGAAAGAGCCAACTGATTAGTCCCAATTCACTAGCTCTTTTTCCGCTGTCACGTAAAGTTTATCTTCTCAAGGATTTATCTAATTCCCTTTTGAAAGTAGCTATTGAATTACCTCCCATCACCTTTTCCAGCAGTCCATTTCAGATTATAGCAATCATAAGCAGACATTGCTGGAAAAGCTCAGCAGGTCTGGCAGCATCTGTGGAGAGAAAGCAGAGTTAAAGTTTCAGGTCCAGTGACTCTTCTTCAGAAGGGTTCTATAGAGAAAGGTTCTGAAGAAGGGTCACAGGACTCTAGATGTTAACTCTGCTTTCTCTCCACAGATGCTGCCAGACCTGCTGAGTTTTTCCAGCAATTCCTGTTTTCACCTCTGATTTCCAACTTCAGCAGTTCTCTTGGGTTTTATTTAAATCCGGATTATAACAACTCGCTGCATTGAAAATGTCCTGGCTTTAGATAATGATCTTAAACTTGTACTCTCTGGTTAACGAATCTCCCTCAAACCCCCTCCCCTCTGACACTGTCCTTTCTTCTCCCCTGTGCCCACAAACAGTGGGCGGCACTCTACCCAAAGTTAGTACCTGAACTCTGATCTCCACAATGGCCGCTGCCACAAATGCCACTGCTGCCAGAACCATTCCGATTGTCATCCGTCTGAGGGGCCTGGGCAGGAGTGAAGAAACAGAAGGTTTGCAGTTTTCAGGGACTTAAGAAGCAGCAGCGCGGGTAGAAATTAATTTGCCATTGCTCTGCCATTAATATATGACCTTAGCCCAGCTCCATGCTCCTCCCCCTCTCCCTATATCCCTGTAAGTCTGAGAGAAATCAGAAGTCTGTCCATCTGGCCTGAAAGTATATTCAATAAGAACATGCGCAGTCCATTCAGCCCATTGAGGCTTTTCGATCATTCAATATGATCATTACTAGTTGAACACTCCAATACCTATTAACCACCAAATCCCATAACCCTGTATGTCATTGATAGGCTGTGTACACCATTGGGAACCAGTGTACACCATTGATAACCAGTGTACACCATTGGGAACCAGTGTATGCTATTGACAATCAGTGTATGTCTTCGGTACTCAGTATATGCCATTGGTAATGGCGGGTCTGACATATAAGGAGAGATTGACTGGGCTGGGATTGTTTCTCCTAGAGTTCAGACGAATGAGGGGGGATCTCATAAAGAGTTATAAAATTCTAACAGGACTGGACAGGGTAGATGCAGGGAGGGTGTTCCCGATGGTGGGTGTGTCCAGAACCAGGGGTCACAGTATGAGGATTTGAGGTAGACAATTTAGTTTGGAGATGAGGAGACATTTCTTCACCCAAGGAGTGGTGAGCCTGTGGAATTCATTACCACAGGAACAAAACACGCCAAAACATTGAATGTATTCAAGAGGCAACTAGATATAGGACTTGGGGCAAATGGGATCAAAGGTTATGGGGAGAAAGCAGGATTAGGCTATTGAGTTGGATGATCAGCCATGATTGTGATGAATGGCAGAGCAGGCTTGAAGGGCCGAATGGCCTCCTCCTGCTCCTATCTTCTATGTTTCTATGTAATCAGTATATGCTATTGGTAATTAATGTACACGATTGGCAATCCGTGTATACCATTGCTAATTAGTGTACACTATGGGTAATCAGAGTACACAATGAGGAATTGGAATCAATAATGGCCCATCTGCAACTCTCTGAGGTAGAGAATTCCAAAGATTCTCACCCCACCTTCAGATGAAGGAATATCCCCTCAGCTCAGTCCGAAATCATCAGTCTGTTATCCTGTGACTCTGTCCTCTGTGTTCAAGATTCCCCAGTCAGGGGAAACAACCTCTCAATGTACCCCGTTACCCTCCTTCAGAATCTCATTCAAACTCAACAATATTGTAAACCCCAGTCAGTAAAACGTGGAGCTGGCAGAGCACGGCACGTCAGGCAGCATCAGAGGAGCAGGAAAGTCGATGTTTCCGGTCTGGACCCTTCATCAGAACTGGGGAGGGGGAAGGGACCTCAGAAATAAATAGAGGGACGGGGGCTGGGGCTGGGGGAAGGTAGGTGGGATGATGATAAATAGATGCAGATAGGGGGTTGCAGAGACTGATTAGTTGGAAGGGTGGAGCAGATAGGTGAGAAGGAAGATGGACAGATGGTATTAGGTCAAGGAGGCGAGGATGAGAGGGAGGGCTGGATATGGGATGAGGCTGGGGGTGGGGAGATTTTAAAACTGGCGAATTCTATGTTGAGGCCATTGGCCTGTGAGCTCCTGAGGTGGAATATAAGGTGTTGCTCCTTCAGTTTACATGTGGCCTCATTTTGACTGTTCAGGAGGCCTAGGATGGACGTGTCACCAAGGGAGTGGGAGGGGTAGTTGAAATGACTAGCAGCTGGAAGGTGGTGTTGATTGGATGCTCCATGAATCAGTCCCCGAGTCTGTGCCTGGTCTCCCTGATATAGAGGAGACCACATCGGGAGCAATGGATGCAATAGATCAGGTTAGAAGAACTGCAGGTGAATCTCTGCTGGATATGAAATGTTTGATTGGGGCCTTGGGTGGAGGTGAGAGGAGAGGTGTAGGGATGGATGTAGCACTTCCTGTGGTTGCAGGGAAATTGATGGGGAGTGGGGTGCTGATGAGAGAGGCACAGAGTGAGCGTTCCCTACAGAAAACAGTTAGGGGTGGGGAAGGAAATATCTTTTTGCTTGTGGGGTCAGATTGCAGGTAGCAAGAATGGTAGAGGATGATGCATTGGATTTGGAAATTGGTGGGTTGGTATGTGAGGGCCAGGGGAACTCTATCCTTGTTGTTGTTTGAGGGCAGAATGTGGGATATGCAGGAGATGCGGTTGAGGGCATTCTGAATTATGGGAGAGGGGAAATTATGGTCCTTGAAATAGGATGACATCTGGGATGTCTGTGAGTGGAACACTTCATCCCGAGAGCAGGTGCAGCGGAGGCGGAGGAATTGGGAGTAGGGGATTGGATTTTTGCAAGAGGGTGGGTAAGAGGAGGTGTAGTCAAGGTAGCTGTGGGAGTTGGTGGGTTTCAAATGGATGTTGCTGCTAACTTGGTTGCCAGAGATGGAGACAGAGAGGTCCAGGAAGGGGAGGGTGGTGTCAGAGATGGTCCAGGTGAATTTGAGGTTGGGGAGAAAGGTGTTGGTGAACTGCTCGCGCCCGAGCAGCACCAATACAGTCACCAATGTTGTGGAGGAAGAGGCGGGGGATGGTGCCAGCGTCCCTGTGGAAGAGGGACTGTTCCAAGTATCCTACGAGGAGGCAGACATAGCTCGGACCCATGCGGTGCCCCCTTAATTTGTAGGAAATGGGAGGAATCAAAGGAAAAACTGTTGAGGGTGAGGACTAGTTCTGCCAAGTGGATCAGGGTGTCGGTGGAGGGGGTCTGGTTGGGAGAGGAAGAAACGGAAGGCTGTTAGGCTCTTCTCATGGGGGATACAGGTGTAAAGACACTGAATGTCCATGGTAAAGATAAGGTGTTGGGGGCCAGGGAACTGAAAGTCTTGGAGAAGGTGGAGGGCATGGGTAGTGTCCCAAATGTTGGTGGGGAGTTCCTGGAGCAGAGAGGAAAGAACGGAGTCAAGGTAGAAGGAGATGACCTGAGTGGGGCAGAAGCAGGCAAAGACAATGGGTCAACCAGGGCAGTCAGTTTTATGAATTTTAGATAGATCCCAGTGGTCTCTTTTGAAATGGGATTAAGCAATTTCTTAAAGGCTGCTGGGTTATAAAGTGATGATGAGGGTCCCCAGATGTGGTCTGGGTGAGCGTGATAGCTTTAAATCATCTTAAACCATGAGATAGGTCTCAGATATGTGAAGCCCTGAGCTTGTCCAATTGTGACAGAAATGTAGGAACTTGTATTTATGTTGCAGATCCTCAGGATCATCCCAAAATACATCATAGCTATAGAGTTGGAGGCAGAGATTTTAAATTTGAGGTGCGTGTGGACAGGGATATAGTGCAGTTCAGTAATCGCAAGGTTGGAAGAAATTTGGTGCAGTTTTAAAACATCGGCAGCAGAGTTTTGGATCAGTGTCAGTCACAGAGTATAAGAGATCCATGAAAAACAGCAGATAGATTGTCAGAAGGTAAATCTAATTAAGGGACTCAATTTAAACATTGTTAACAGGAGACATGAAGATTGTTATCTTGTGCTCATCAGGATGGAAACACATTAAAATCAATTTCAGAAAAAGAACAACAATCTTGCTGCATAATCTTCTCATGGTAGGCAAATTGTTGTTCTCTTTCTAAAGTTGGTTTTCTTGCTTTTCAGTCCTGGTGACTGCAAGACAAAAAGTTTTGACTTCGCGTCAACTTTTTTTTTGTTAAAAAATGTGTCAGTTCTGTACTACCAGACAATTATTTACAGTTAGACCAATGGGTGTCTGGGAGAGATTACAGGCTGGAATTTAATCAAAGAGTCCAGATGGTTTGTATATGGAATAGTGGGATACCTGGGAGAGAACTACAGCTGGATTACAATGTGACCAGCCCCTAACACATGAATTATAATCCAGCTGGACCGACTGTATTATCTGTTATTATTGTAACTAACAGGCACAATCCATGTACAGTGGTTTAACTGATGTTTTATTCAGTTTTTGTGCTGTTTGTTCATATTCTTATAGGGTGATGCAACTAACAGGGAAAGATTATAATTGGGACTTCACACTGCAAGTCTACGGAGAAGCAAAATACAGGAAGTCTGCCATCCCATCCAAACTCAAGTGAATGCAGTGATAAATTGCATTCCTTCCAAGCACACAAAGTAAAGCAGAAGCAGACCAAATGGCTCCCGAACCTTTACTTGATCTCTATGCATTCTCTCTGTGCTCAACAGAAACTATATTGAGCATTAACATGACTCATTAAAAGAGACTTTTGCAAAAGAATTGGTGCCTGTTCCTATTTCAGGATGTTACTGGGATCTGTAAGATGTGTCTTCAAATAAACATTAGAGGTTTTGCAGAGGTTATGGTCTGAATTCACAAAAATGAGGTGACTATGTCAGCTGGCCATCTGAGTGTTTTGGGAAGAGTGTTTTGGTATTGTTAAACTCCAACCCAAACTCAAACAGAAGCCCTGATACTGATGGAGCAGCTCATTTAACCCATCTCCTTATCTATCTCCTTCTAAGGCTTAGAGCCAAATTTAGCTTTACCTTGTTAAACACCTTGGAATATTTTACTGAAGACACCGTATGGATGCAATTGTTGCAGTGTGGAGCAGGGCTCCAACTGTACAGGGCCTTGGTGAGACAACACTGGAATATTGTGGGCAGTTTGGTCTCCTTATCTGGGGAAAGATGTTCTGGCTATAGAGGCAGTGCAATGAAGATTTACCAAACTGGTTCCTGGGATGGCAGGACTGACGTATGAAGAGAGGCTGGAGCAGTTAGGACTGTATTCACAGGAGTTTAGGACAATGAGGAGGCATCTCACAGAAACCTATAAAATTCTAACAGGACTAGACAGGATAAATATAGGATGTTCCTGATGACGGGGTAGTCCAGAACAAGGGGTCACAGATTAAGGATATGAGGTAGGCCATTTAGGACTGAAATGAGGAGAAATTTCTTCACCCAGAGAGTGACGAGCCTCTGGAATTCTCTGCCACAGAAAGTGGTTGAGGCCAAAGAATCATCCAACTCAGTCTCCTGTTCCCTCTTTCTCCCCATATCCTTTAATCCCTTCAGCCCAAAGAACAGGGGAGGCAATGGCCTAGTGGTACTATCGCTGGACTGTTAATCCAGAGACGCAGATAACATTTTGGAATTAAGAATCTAATGATGACCATGAATCCATTGCCGAATGTCGGGAAAAGCCCATCTGATTCACTAATGTCCTTTAGGGAAGGAAACTGCCATCCTTACCTGGTCTGGCCTACACCTGACTCTAGACCCACAACAATGTGGTTGACTGTTAACTGCCCTCTGGGCAATTAGGGATGAGCAATAAATGCTGCCTGGCCAGCAAGGCCCTCATCCCATGAATGAATAAAGAAAAAACTGTATCTAACGCCTTCTTGAGATGTTCAATGTTTTGGGTTCAACCGCTTTCTGTGGCAGGGAATGCCACAGTTCACCACTCTCTGGGTGAAGAAATTTCTCCTTATCTTATGAGAAGCCTAAATGGAGATTCTTTTTATTTTCTTTATTCTTTTGTGGGATGTTGGTATCACTGGCAAGACTGCATTTGTTGCCCTGTCAAATGACCTTTGAACTGAGTTGCTTGATAGGACCATTCAGAAGGCAGTCAAGAATGAAGCATATTAGCGTGGGCCTGGAGTGACATGTAATCCTGAATAGGTAAGGATGGCAGATTTCCTTCCCGAAAGGATGGGTTTTTATAACAGTCGATGTCAGCTTCTTGGTCGGTTACTGAGCTTAGCTTTCAATTCTATTCACTCCATTCATTTATTCATTCCAGCCGCTTCCATGGTGGGATTTGAAACCATGTCACAGCTACAGCACAGAAAAAGGTCCTTTGGCCCATCGAATCAGCGCCAGTCAAAAACAACCATTCAACTATTCTACTCCTATTTTTCAGCAGTTGCCCCGCAGCCTTGCATGCCTTGGCATCAAAAGCGCACATCTAAATACTTTTTAAACGTTCTAAGAGTTTCTGCCTCTCCCACCCCTATAAGCAGTGAGTTCCAGATTTTCACCACCCTTTGGGTGAAAAAACATTTCTTCACATCTCTGCTAAATCTTACCTTATATCGATGCCCCCAGTCATTGATTCCTCCACCAAGGGGATAAATTCCTTCCTGTCTACCCTATCTAAGCACCTCATAATTTTAACAATTTCAATCATGTCCCCTTTCAGTCTCCTCTGCTCGAGGGAGAACAACCCCAGTCTATCAAATCTCTCTCTTTTTAAATTTATTCATTTGTGGGATGTGGGCGTCACTGGCTGGCCAGCATTTATTGCCCATCCCTAGTTGCCCTTGAGAAGGTGGTGGTGAGCTGCCTTCTTGAACCACTGCAGTCGTCCTGCTGTAGGTTAACCCACAATGCCATTAGAGAGGGAATTCCAGGATTTTGACCCAGCGACAGTGAAGGAACGGCGATATATTTCCAAGTTAGAATGGTGAGTGGCTTGGAGGGGAACTTGGAGGTGGTGGTGTTCCCATATATCTGCTGCCCTTGTCCTTCTAGTTGGAAGTGGTCGTGGGTTTGGAAGGTGCTGTCTGAGGATCTTTGGTGAATTTCTGCAGTGCATCTTGTAGATAGTACACACTGCTGCTACTGAGCATCGGTGGAGGGAGTGGATGCTTTCATAACTGAAACTCTCCAGCCCAGGCACCATCCTGGTAAATCTCCTCTGCATCCTCTCCAATGCAATCACATCCTTCCCTTCCAGAACTGCACACAATACTCGAGCTGTGACCTGACCAATGTTTTACACGGTCCCAGCAAAACCTGCTCTTAAACTCCTGTGCATCGGTTAATAAAGGCAAGTATCCCATATGCCTTCCTAACCACTTTATCCAGCTGTCTGATGTATTGTGGCACACATGGACATGAACATTAAGATCCCTCTGATTTTTAGGGCTTCCAGTGTTAATCCAGGAACTCCCCAGCATTAACCAGGACTCTGGATTACGAGACTACCTTTAATCTTCCCAATCAATTTCCATTCACAGAGAGGTTTAAAGTAATTCACCAAAGTATTCAAGGGGAGTTGAGGAAAAATGTTTCTCCCCCAAAGAGTGTAAAAGTGGTAAAGGTAGGAACTCTCTTGCACTTGCGAATATTGGAAATACACTTGAGCTGCTGACCTGTATGAACCCAGGAGTTGGAAGGTGAGATCAGATGGAGCAGCTCTTCAACGGCTAACGCAGACACAACAGGCCAAATGGCTTTGTTCTATGCCATACGTTTTCTAGTTAATCTTTTCCTCATTTGATGACAGCAAATTTATCAAGTAGTTTATGTAAATGAAAGTGCCACTTAAAAGCTAATGATACTCACGTCAAGTTGATTTTACATTTCCTAAGGAGAGGATAAATGCCCATGTCAAAGGTTGGAATAAAAATAACAATCAAAAGGGCATTAATGGTCTGTGGGAAAAAAAACAAAACAAATAAAGCCACAGGTAAAATCAATTAATAGGATTAAATAACATATGGACTTGTATTTAAATGATGAGTCTTATCAGCACTCTTAGAAATCTTTCATGATAACATCTACTCTAACAGGAAAGGCAAAACCTGAGTCTCATTTACCCTTTGTAGGTATGTTTCTGTAGTCAGTTAAGGGATGAAAACAGTGTCAGGAGCAAGTGAAGGGGTTTACAGACCAAGGAAGTGAAAGGTGAGCAGTTACTGATGGTCGAAGGGGTGCATATCGCTGGAGGTGATGTTGGAGTAACGTCACTGGATGAGTAATCCAAAGACCCAGGCTAGTACTGTGGACATGTGGGTTTAATTCCCAACACAGCATTTGGTGAAACTTAACCTCAATGAATAAACCTGGAATTACTGAGCAAGTGTCAGTGAGACCCAGAGGTAAGACCAGCAAAACTTGCAAATACTGGTGTGACTTGTTTTGTATTCAGGGAGTCCCTGTTTTACTAACATCTGACTTTCAAACGCGATCCGACATGGGGGTGTAATTTTAAAGATCCAACACACAAACATCTCCGGTACTTACTGGACTCCAGAATGGAACTCGTTCACAGCCCAGTTCATTGCAAGTTCCTCAAAATGGAGCTCCAGCACACTCATTTCTAAGAATTAATGTTTTTTTTTTCCCTCTGGATGGTGATCACGGCAACTGTTGTAAAAACCCATCTGGTTCACTAATGTCTTTTAGGGAAAGAAATCTGTCATCTTTACCTGCCTACATGTGACTTCAGAACCACAGCAATGTGACTGACTCATAACTGCCCTCTGCAATGGTCTAGCAAGCCACTCAATTCAAGGGGCAATTAGGAATGGGCAACAAATGTTGGCCTTGCCAACGGTGCCCACGTCCCGTGATTGAATAAAAAAGTCTGGAAAGTGGGGCACCGTTGGCCTGTGTTTCTTTTTTCTGCCCTTTGATTTGACTGGATAACACATGATGTGTTGGATTGCTCAGATTGATGTAGCCCACCTCCAGTACAGGATCAGTCGCGGAATATTTACCCCGGGCTGTAACGTAACACACTGCTGTTTGACGGAGGAGAAGGGAAAAAGTTACCTGTTCACCCTCCCTTACCCTTCTTAGCATGCCTCTATGACAAGGAGAATGGCAGACAGACTGGGTGCATCGTCAAGAAAGGCACAGAAGGCAAAGGAGAAGATGAGATCTAAACTGGGCATTCAATATTATGAAGCAAATTGATAGAAAGGATTGGTGAGCATAGGACACCAAATTTAAATAAATGGCAAAAGAACCAGACAGGATGGAAAGTATTTTCTCTGCTGCAAGTTGAAGATATCTGTTGCCCGAAAGGATAGAGGAAGCAGATTCAACAGTAACTTTCAAAGAAATAATTTCAAAGAATTCTTGGGACGTATGCCTCGCTGGCTAAGCCAATTTCTATTGCCCATCCCTAGTTGCCCAGGGGACAGTCAAGAGTCTACCAAGTTGCTGTGGGTCTGGAGTCACATGTAGGCCAGACCCGGTAAAGATGGCTGTTTCCTTCCCTAATGGGATTCATGAGCCAGATGTGTTTTTACAACAATCATCAGTGATGATACCTGTCAAGCAAAATATTCACTGGATTCAAATTTTACCATCTGCCACAATGGGCCGTGAGTTCATATCTCCAGGCTAATGTCTTGGATTACTAAACCAGTGGCCTTACCACTGCACCACCACCTCCTCTCCTTAAATCATAGAATCACAAAATCCCTACAGTGTGGAAGCTGGCCATTTGGCCCATCCAGTCCACACTGACCGTCTGAAAAGTAGCCCACTCAGACCCATTTCCCTCCCCTATCCCTGTAACCCTGCATTTAACATGGCTAACTCACCTAGCTTGCACATCCCTGGACACCATGGGCAACTTCCCATGGCCAACCCACCTAACCCGCACATCTTTGGACTGTGGGAGGAAACCGGAGCACCCGGAGGAAACCCATGCAGATACGGGGATGTACAAATTGGAGAGTTGAAGGGTACAGTAGGGAAGAGTGGGACTAATTGGATAGCTCTTTCAAAGAACCATCATCGGCTTAAGGGGCTAAATGGTCTTCTTTCATACTATAAGATTCTATGATCATGTACCTTTGGCTGTAAGGGATGGATCAAGGCAGATCCTGCACAATGGACAGCAGGTTAGATGCTGATTTTCATCAAAGTTTTCAAGATATTAAAGGCAATGATCAAAATGTATGGGGGCAGTGGGCAGATCCAGCCCTGGAAGTCCTCAAATTGCCCAGGATAATTCCCTCATGGGAGGAACTGAGAAATGTCATCACAGTGAAGAGAATGAAAGGAAACAGTGATAAGCTGCTCCTCAGCTCGTGATCCTACCTGCAGCAAACCCAGGAGAGAAACAGCCTGTGACATGAGGGGCAGTGAACAGCAAGAGAAAGTCAGCACTGCCATTGACTGAGTTGCCAGTGGAAACGTTGACTGGGTGCGAGGAGTCGAGAGCTAGGGGCCAGGGTCCAAGAGCCAAGGGCAAGAAAGTGGGGACTGAGATCAAGAGCTGGGGCTGGAGGCCAGAAACCATGACCTGAGGTTTGAAGGGATGGCGGCTGAGAGTTGGGCTCCAGGGGATAGGGTTCGTGGTCTGAGATGTGCTGCCCAGAAGCCAAAGGCTGAGAAGTAAGGTCTGGGAACTCACAGCTAGGGGGCAGGTCTGAGATCCAAGAAAGCTTTAAATCAATTCCTTGCAAATCAATGTGGAATCTCTAGTTTAAGGCTGCATAAGTTCAGGAGCTTTTATAATTTAAGAAACGTAATGCATCCTACTCTAACGAACACTAAATTTATGTCTGAGACTGAGATGGGAGAAGCAGTGAATAGGGTTATAACAGCCTGGCTAAAACACTTGCGTATATTCAATGGAAATAAATCTGACCTCACCAGTTCGTAGAAGGTGTGTTTATGGGGGATGGTTTTTTCAGTGTAGAAGTATTTCATCAGTTATTTTGTAAAAAGAAATTATTTCTAACTCATGCCTGTTGTCTTTTGCCAATTTAAATATTGCGGTCTCTGGGAAATGAATGATTTTGTAATGTGGCTTTAAGTTTAATGAAGAGTTAATAATTATAGAGGATATTGATGAATTATTCTCTTCTGCCTCTGTGAGAGCGCGATTATCATATTAGTCAGCACAAATACAGAAGGTATTGTTACCACATGAAAAAGTGGCTTCTGAAAGTCAAAAGATAGCCCTCAGGGGAAAATCTCAAGAAGAATCCTTTAGAAAACAAAAAAAAATGTTTTGACACCTGTATGAAAAGGAGCATAAAAGGTAGAGAGAGAGAGAAACGATTTCCACTGGTTGGGTAGACTGGAACTAAGCTGCAAAAGTTAACAAATTGGAGTTGAGCCTTTCAAAAAGGAAATTAGGAAACAGTTCCACACACAAATGGTGAGAGAAGTTTGGAACTCCACTCCGTAAATGACAACGGATCCTGAATCAATCGCTAATTTTACATCTGAGATTGATAAGATTTTTATTAACTGAAGTCTATTAACGGGCATAGAGTAAAAGTAGGCAAATGGAGTTAATCCTGGCTGCTGGCTTTGTGCACAGCAAGATTCCACAAAAAAAAACATGAAATCAATATTAGTTCATCTCTTTTTTAGGTGCCAGGTGATGGAATGAATATTGATACTGAGATAGATTGCTTGTTAAAGTGCCCTGGTTGTTGCTATTATTATGCAGGAAATGCAGCTGCCAAATTTGAGCATAAATGGCGAGATAATCAGTTTAGTTGATATTGATTAAAGGATAAATATTGATTGGATCACCAGCTGTTCTTTGAAACAGTGTCCTGGGATCTTTCACATTAACCTGACAACTCAGATCTCTACACAACATTCATTCAAAAGATGTAGGATTCCATCAACACCACGTTCAGTGTGTTAGCTTAAGTCTCTGGAGTGGGTCTTGATCTCACAGGCTCTGGACTCAAAGACAAGAATGCAATGTACAGAACAAATATTGTCACCCACTGTGTTCACACATGGTGAGTGGTCAGCAACAAGGGAGAGATGGAAACCACTGAGCATCTTGGGGCTGTACCTCAAATTAAGTTAGGTACATCAGGCTGGGGAAAATTGGGAAGGTATACGAGCAAGTTTCTGTTTTGATCCTAAATTCCTTCTTGAATTATTGCAATGATACCCTAGCCACACCACTCCAAGACAATTAGGCTTGAGCAATATATATGTTGGCCCAAATGACAGCATGTCATAGAATATTTTTTAATAAGTAGAAACATTTTACTTGTGATTTCCATACAAAAGATTAATTATTGAGAAGTTAGAACATATTACATGTTACCTGCATCTGATCTGGTTGGATAACGAACCCACCCTGAAATATGAGCAAAATGTTAATGGCTGTGCGTAATGAGGAAGTTTCAGTAAGATCAATTCTAGTTACTGTGATAACTCTGGGACAGTTACAGATTCTCATTTAAATTACTTACAAAGTTAGAATTCATTCTGGCAGCCTGTAGAGTCCATCGCGATCCCTGAGTGCAAATTAACACAAAATTATTGTTTGATGTGGGATGTTAAACATTCATTGTTTGCAGAACTTCAGGCCACCCCGAGGTGCTGTAGAGTCAATGAAACACATAGATATACAGCAATTGTTGCATTGTCGGAAAGCTGGCAGTTTGTGCACAGCAAGCTCCCACAAACTGCAACGAGATACAGGACCACATAATCTGCTGAGTTAAAGTGGTGGAGAAACTCAGCAGGTCTGGCAGCATCTGTGAAGACAGAAATGGGTAACCACTCTTACCTGCTTTACTCTATGACACAAAAGTCAACATTGATCTCTGTTAGTAAACCACTGTTCCCTGCAAATAGGCCAAACTTATAGAGTTTTGCAAAAGAAAAAAATGGCATGACCTCCAAAGACTGCCCTGCTTTCCTTACAAATTGTGGCCTGCAATTGTTTATGACTTCCTTTTGGAGTGTAGACAAGGTCTTCATTTAAAAAGAAGCCTCATTTGAGAATTAGTGCACCTTGTCCCTAACCTGAACAGTATAGAAGTTGGGACGTCATGTTGAAGTTGTACAGAACATTGATGAGGCCTCTTCTGGGACACTGCGTGCAGTTCTGGTTGCCCTATTATAGGAAGGATATTATTAAACTGGAGAGGGTTCAGAAACGATTTACCAAGATGTTGCCGGGTTTGAAGTGTTTGAGATATGAAAATAGACTGGAAAGGCTGGGACATTTTTCACTGGAGTGTAGGTGGTTGAGCAGAGACCTTTTTGAGGTTTATAAAATCATGAGGGGCATAGATAACATGACTAGCAAGAGTCTTTTCCCTATAGTGGGGGAGTTCAAAACTAAGGAGCATATTTTTAAGGTGAGACGGGAAAGATTTAAAAAGGACACAAGAGGCAACGTTTTTTTACACAGAGAGTGGTTTGTGTGTTGAATGAATTGTCAGGGAAAGTAGTGGATACAGGAACAGTTACAATGTTTAAAAGACATTTGGATAAGGTCATGAATAGGAAAGCTTTGGAGGGATATGGGCCAAGCGGAGGCAGGTGGGAGTTCAGTTTGGGGACATGGTTGGCATGGACTAGTTGGACTGAAGGGTCTGATTCCATGCTGTATGACTGTATGACCAGCTTGCTGTGGCCATAGAACATAGAACATAGAACATTACAGCGCAGTACAGGCCCTTCGGCCCTCGATGTTGCACCAACTTGTGAAACCAATCTGAAGCCCATCTAACCTAAACTATTCCATTATCA